TAGAAGCAGAGGTGGGGGGGTGCTCTGGGGCAGCACAGGGCAGCACAGGGCAGCGAGGGGCAGGAGGACCCGGGCTGGGGCTGCCCCTCTGCCCTGCACTGTGCAGGTGGGACCCCAGTGATACAGATGGCAGCTTCAACTGCCGGTAATTGCCAGGGGGGCACTTGTTTGTTTTTCTGTATGGGGATGCTGGGGTGGGGGTGCAGGGATCAGGGGCTTCGGAAAAGTTGGGGGGGGCTGGGGCCAAACAGAGCAGGGATCAGGGGCCTCGGGGGGGCAGGCAGGGGATGGGGCCGGGCAGGGCAGGGCTGGGGGAGTGGGCAGGGCCAGCAAGGGTCCCCCCATAGTTTCCTCCTCCAGCCCCCCCAACCCCTTACTTACCTGCACTGGAGCCCTGGTGCTGCAGGATGCTGCCTGGCAGGCCACGTGCTTCAGCACCAGGGTGAGGGGCCAACCACAGAGACGCTCTGGCAGCCAGAGTGTCTCTGTGGAGGACCCAGCCTGCGGTTGCCTCAGGGCACGGTCCCTGCCCTGTGCCCTGTCCCACTTTTTTAAACTGTTTGTTTTAGATCCCTGGGTCTAATTTTCTCTTTGTACTGCAAACTTGCAGCATGGGGAACATTTTTTCATTCCCGCACGTGCCTCTTGCCCCATCTCAAAGGGGTTTGAGATGGGGCAAGAGGCACGTGTGCACTTGTCTCAACATGCCCCATGTGTGCAGATATAAGCTTAAATTTGTAAGTTAGTACAACAATTAGGAAGTTTTTACAGCAAATAAGACATGGACATTGCACTGCTTAGTTAATGATACTCATAGTTTTGAACAAGAGCCCTATTGTACGGACCTTGTTTTATTTGTCACAGAAAACAGCCAATTTTATTAGAAACTAGGAAAACAATTCTTTTTGGTCAAACAGTATGCAATGTGAATAATAACTCTGGTTAGCAGTTCTAATTCTTGAAATTGTCTCTTAGCTTTACTATCTTTTTGAGTATGGCACTTCAAAATGAGAAAGGATGTTTAGAGCCTCCACCACCATGTATCTGCTTTCACTAGCACTTGGCATATGCAAGGATCTGGGAGCATTTTTATTCAAATTCAGTTTAATTATATATACTCATTATTCATTCCAAGTAGAAATAAAAAAAAGGATGTCTTAGCTTTTGGAGTACCTTCTTTTTCCTTTTTCTTTAAATACCCCTTTTATAAAATATGGTTTCTCCTTTTAGTACCTCATAAGGATGTTTTGTGGTTTCAGATGCTTTTTTTCTGTCTCTGGAAATATAAAAACATGCAAATCAGCA